TCGAAGCTAGGAGGAGGTAAGTTCGGAAATTGCTCAGGTTATTAACAAGCATCCCGAAACAGTTCCTGATACAAGTACGCGTTTTAGAGAAGGGATTCCATTTCGGAGAATGATAAAACCCGACGAAAAGGAAAAGGTGATGAGTATTATATTTAATCACATAATGAAGAATCCAAAAGCAAGTTTATCAGAGATCCACGCCGTACTCAAATGTCACCACAAGATGACAGTTAATTCAAACTCGTTATCCAAATGGCTAAACGAAGCTAGGAAGAGGTAAGTTCGGATATTGCTCAGGTTATTAACAAACATCCAGAAACAGTTCATTATACAAGTACACGCTTTAGCGAAGGGCATGCAGGGCCAATGATACAGTCCGACGTGAGAAAAAAGGCGAACAGTATTATATTTGATAACTTAAGAAAGGAACCAACAGCACGAATATCAGACATTCATGCCACACTCAAAGAACACTACAAGATAATAGTTAGTTTATCGACGGTAAGAAGATGGGCTAAGGAAATTATGAAACGGTAAGTTGCTATATGTATAGGTACATAGCGGTCATCGATAGCAAAATTTATATTCGCTATAGTTCCTTCAGATGTCATTTTAACACATAAACATGAGTAAACATATGTATATTTAATGAAATTTTATCATGTGTCACAATTAATACCAAATAATCCTTCTCTTGTACTAGAATTGTATCAATACATGCAACATATTCGCTATTAATAATTAATAATATAAATTATGCGAATATAACAGAACTTTAATCACACAGCATTTATTTGAGAAACTATGCGCACGGGAGTTTGTCGGTGCACACACGTGAAAACGATACAAATGTAGAACTTCTTGTGCGCATGTACCTAGAGCTATTGAATTTAATTCCTTATGAGATCGAAATGTTTGGTACTATTTATCGATAATAAAAATATGTTAGTTAAAAGTTAAGTTGAAAATGCGAAACAATACAGATCTTTGCGACTCAATAGCAAGATGATTTATTATTGCAATATTATTACTTATTTGTAATTTTTACCCTTCTCTACGCATTGTCGCGGCCGTTTAGCAAATGTCACGTAACGTTAACATCATTTTTAAATTGG